CACACACACACACACACACACACACACACACACAACCATCCTCTCTCCTCTATGACTTCCTCTCCGAAACACCTGGAGAGGCAGGTACTGTGACCCACAACGGTCATCCATCCAGAGCTGCAGGGCATTTCCTGCAGTTTCTCTCCACACCTGGGGGGTTAGAAATGTGAAAATTCTGCAGAGGCTCCCTAGAATCCAGAACACCCACACAGGGAACCCCACCCACAGAGGGAAACGCAGGCAGAGCCCTTGGCCCATACAGACAGGAGATCCTGAGACAGAGCCTCAGGGCACAGCTATAGCCCTCTAGGGCACCCAACCTCTGGGTGTGTGCACACACATCTGATCCCCGTGAACAGATTCTGTGGAATACTACTCAACGGTGAAAAAGAGGACAAGATGTCTTTGGGGATAAAATGGATCCAACTTTAAGGGACAATGTTAAGTGAAATAGGCCAGAAAGTAAAAGAGTTACTGGCCCATCTCACTCATTTGTGGATTAGAAGTGGCCAAAGAGGATGCACTGGCCCAGCACAGTACAGCGACACCAGACTCTGAAGGCACTGGAGGGAGTGGGAGAATAGCAAGGTGTGGAGAGCAGGGGACTGGACATCCCTCCTGAGCTTCAGTGGACGGGGAATGAAGCGTGAGCACATGTGGAAGGGTGAGGCAGTACCCCCAAATTACATAGTTAGTCTTGAGTCTGGGGCTCAAAAACCCAGAACACCCACTAACAAACTTACAAAATTGAAGAAAAATAAGTAAATAAAACCCTTTCCGATACTGTCCAAATTTGATCTCAGTGGATCTGGAGCTTTCAGACAGGCGGGAAAGCACGGCCAGAACTTGAGAAAACCCAAACCGTCCTGCGTATACAGCCCCCCTGCACCAAGCCTGCACGCCGTGCAAGGCAGGGGCCGCCCATTCCACTTTCTCTTGCTCCGCGACAGGTTCCACACAATCACTGAGCCGCCTCCCCTGGGCTTGGCAACCGTTAATTGCTGGGGGAACTTGCCACACGTAACTGATTCACTTCTGAACAGCTGCACGAGTTCTCGAAATCAACACCAAACACTGCACGAGTTCTCGAAATCAACACACCAAACACGTCACATGCCGTGGGCTTATGGCATCGTCACACATGCAGTTCCCATCCACCCAGAAGAGAGACCGCATCTTAGAGTGGCTCCTTTAAGGACACGGCGGCCTTGTCACTTAGAAAAGTTCAAAAGAACCAGGGGAAATCCAGTTCTCTTCAGCACTGCTCAGCCTAATAAAGAAATCCGTGTGAAAACTATGCACAGAACACAGAAAACACAGGAGTTAGATCATATTTACAAAGCTCTCCTGTACCTTTCCTAATAAAACCTTGTTATTGCAGCATAAAAACACAGAAGCCTATTCCTATTATGAAACCAAGTAGCAACCAATAACAAACCCTGCCTTGTAGCCAGACGGAGTGTGCGCTGCTGCTGTATATTGGGGGCTTTTCATCTCACGTCTGCCTGGCTGGATGCACTGAATTCATCAGCCACTTCTGTAGCCTGTGCACATCATCAGTCCCGGGGGCTCCGGCCCAGGGATTGTTCTAGCCCATAATTAGGAGACGTGAGCCAGTTCCAAGTGCACTTGCAAAGACAGAGGAGCGAGGAGAGCCCCGATCCCCATCCTAAATCAGCTAGCACAACCCCAGCCACAAGCTGCCTTGTGTGGCCACATCCCCACCTCTGTGGCCACGGTGAAGCTGCTGGAAGAACTCACAGAAAGAAAATTCCTGCAATTAAATACTCGGGCCATGATCCACCAGCTTTGAAGTTGTTGAGAGAGCTCATCTCAAAAAGCCTGCTCAGGAAAATCTGCTTAGTTCGGAGCACATCCTGGAGGCAGTTGATACTCCCCACTTCCCACCCATGCGTTTCTCTGTGGGAAGGGGTGCTGGCAGGGACCCAGGACAGAGTGGGGGTGGGAATGGGAAGGGGTGCTTCTACAGTCTCCTTTGAAAATCCCGTCCCATCTCATCGTGAGCATGTGTCTGGAGCCTCCCAACTCGCTGTTCTGTGACAGACAGGGATGTTGACAGGAGGGGAGGAAAGCAGATGGGGGATCCCTCTTTGCTCACAGCAGGGCCTGCTGTGATAACTCAGGTTACAAGTTGTGGGTCACACTCTGACTTCACCCTGTACTGATTCTGCAGCTGCTGGGTCAGCAGAGAGGGGCTGTCTCCCCACTCCAGGCCCCCTCCCAGCCTCAGAATGAGCTGTTCTAGAGACACGAAGCCACTTCTGGGCACCCACCTGCAAGTCAGAGCCACAGCGCCTCTGGTGCACTAAGCAGCATTCCCACGCAGAGGATGCTCCGGAATTATTTCTTTACAGGTCAGTGCCAGCAAGAAAAGTCAACTCCAAATTCCAGCACCCTCCCAGGTCACACCAGCCCCCAGCCAGGACACCACACACACACACACACACACTCCCACACCTAAGCCAGCTTTCCTTTCCTGCAGACCCCTCCCCTTGAAAACTCTGTCTCCCCTGTCCCTTTACAGTCTCACCTAGGGCCTCCCACCCAAGCCTTCCTGGGACGCACCCGCAGCAGGAGGCAACCTCGAGAACCTTGAGAACCTTGGTGGGTCGATAGCACAGCCCACCGGGTACTCTCCCGCCCTCACTCGCTGTCACCCCCAACCCGCACACTCTGCCCCCACTCACCACAGGGAAGTTAGACTGGGAGCCAGACATAGCAGTGAGCCCTCACCTTTGGAGAACAGGGCGGCCAGGCTGATGAGCACGGGGGACCAGTGGTGCCACGGCGTCCCCATCTCAGACGGGCACATCCTGGAGCCTCGGAGCGCAGGTCGTCTGCTCCCCTGCGCCGTCTATGCGAAGAAGACACGGTGCCAGAGCCCCCAGGAGGCAGGAGCTGCGCTGGGAGGCGAAGGGGCTCTCTGCTAGGGACCCGCGCCGCCGCCAGGGCGCCCGCTGCTGTTCTCCCTCCAGTCCATGGCCGGGCTCGAGAGTTGCCCTCCGGAGCCCGGGGCGCGCGCAGGCCCAGCCC